CCCTCCCCTGTCTCATGCTCTCTCTCTCTATCTCATTCTCTCTCTCAAATAAATAAATAAAATCTTTAAAAAAAAAAAAAAGCTGACCGTTGAATCATTTCCTACAAAACAAATAGCACATTTCCATGATAAATTGTTTCATATCTCCTGGTGCTTTTATTTTTTTAGGTGGCAACTTAAAGGAAAAGAAGAGGGAAACATAGAGGTGTATCACCTCACTACCTGTGTGCTCTGCTGAAAGCATGTGGTAGTGCACTGGGCACCTGACCTAGATGGTGTTCATTCTAGAATAGTTCGTTAAGCTATAATTTGATTTATGTGGTTTTCTGTATCTGCATGTTATTTTACTATAAAAATATTTGTATAAATACAAATATAAATATGTATAATTATATATACTGTATAACAATTTTATATAATAATTTAGAAATATATTTTTAATATTTTCTATCTTTATATTTATATAAAATATAAATTGTTATATCATTTAAAATATAAATAATATAAATTTTAAAATATAAATGAAAGTATAATTGTTTATATATAAATATATTTACAGTAATTATATATTTTATAACAATTTTATATATAATAATTTAAATATAAATATATAATACATATATAATATATAAGGATTATATAAATATAAATAAATAAGTGAAAATGGACCAAAAACTAGACCATAGGGAGAATCTATAGCTAATAGACTTGTCCTCTCTTACTGAAGCTGCACCCCAAGTCCCAAAATAACATGTAAGATTACCTTGAGCAGACTGGACTGTGTAAATACCAACAATATATTGCTATGAATTTCCTTTTTGAGGAAATTTGGGATGTGTGGATGTGTATGTTGTTTTGATTCTTCTTCCCCACCCCATAATTAATTCTGTATCTTCTTATTCCTTCCAGAATGGGCTTCTATCCGCACTGCCTTATTTTGGCTGTTGGTTATGTATGATCCTGTCTGGTCAAGCTGCTGACAATTTAAGGGCAAAATGGAATTATTCAACAATATGCGTCCGAAGAGTTTTTAGCCTGATAGGTAAGTGAAGTGAGTCAGGGTTTGTTTTGGTTTACAATTATTTACTGTGTTTATAATGCAAGGCAAAATAAAGATGATATTAGTCATTTATTTTGTTCACATATTAAAACATGATTTTTTTTTTCATGATTTTTAATGCATGTAGTGCATTTCTGTACAGGATGGTTGGTTCTTTCTGAACCATGCATTTTGAGGGTTAATATTGATCATATCCTATTATCTCTACCATAGTCTTATAACTATAAAAAATGGCTTGCTTTGCTGAATATCATTTCCAGAATTTTCTAAATCACTGTGTTTTCAGCTCTAAGTTTGTAGTGAAAATAATATTTTTAAGTCTCCATCCCTTTTCTAAATGAATACATTTTCAACTGCAATCCAAAAACATTTACTAACATCATTACATTAAATGAGGAGCTATAAATCAAAGAACTCAAAGGAACCTTCAATAATCATAAGTTTCAGACTGTTTTCATAAAGGTAAATTTTAAAACTGTATAGGACAATTGCTTCATTTCTTTTTTTTTTAAAGATCTTGAGTAAGTAGAGACCCTGGAAGTCTCTGATGGCTATAGTTCAGAAATTACATTGTAAAAGGACCCTATTCAGGATAATTCTACAAACACCTTCTGAGCAGCTACTGCTGGAAGATGCTGTCCTGTTGTATTGCTTGCTTATTTCAACTCTCAAGAAATTTTTCCACACCTGAAAATAAAATAGATCCCATTAGAGTCAATCCAATTTTCCCTTTTTTGGCTTCCTGTTCACCTGCTCTGTCCAATATGGTAGCCACTATCCATATATGGCTGTTTACATTTAATTGAAATACAAATACAAATATACAAATACAACATTTCCATCATCACAGAGAGTTACTGGATAGCACTGCTGTAGAACAGAGAAAAAATGGCAAACCTCTCATTAAGTCCCTTCCTATTACTTGTATTTTGTGCTTAACTGCCTATAATAAAATACGTATATTGCTATGAATGCTAAAACCTAAATGGAGTGTTTTTCTAACTTTATTCAACAGAGTTTATTTAGTTTATCTTCTTTGGTTATATGAACTTTAAATCTCATTCTGTACCAACTATAGCTTCTCTCCAGAACTATATTTTTCAGTCATTCTCTTCTTGCTCTTTGTAGAACTTTAGCTGAGTCTTGGTCACAGGAAGATTTAATAATATTGCATAGTGATATTTTCCTTTTACTTTTACATTAGTTGCATTATGTCTATGTTTTTTCCGGCAGTTTTTGTTTTGTCATGAAAACTGTAATTTAAACTGAGTCTTTTATGCAGTACAGCGTTTCTACAGTAGGTGGCAGTGATATCAAATCTCAGATTTATACTATATTAAGGTAGTCCAAGCAAATATTAATACTGAGGCTTCTTTTTCTGTTTATAACTTTTTAACTCCAGGAATGATTGGACCTGCGGTATTCTTGGTAGCCGCTGGATTTATAGGTTGTGATTATTCATTGGCTGTTGCATTCTTAACCATATCAACAACACTGGGAGGCTTTTGCTCTTCTGGATTTAGCATCAACCATCTGGATATTGCTCCTTCGTGAGTACCAATATAAAGATTGGCTATGATTGACTTTAAATTCATTTTTTTTTAATTGTGGTAAGATATATATAACATGAAATATACCATTTTAACCTTTTTTTTTTTAAGATTTTATTTATTTATTTGACAGAGAGAGACAGTGGGAGAGGGAACACAAGCAGGGGAAGTGGGAGAGGGAGAAGCAGGCTTCCCGCTGAGCAGGGAGCCCGATGCGGGGCTTGATCTCAGGACCTTGGGATCATGACCTGAGCCGAAGGCAGACACTTAATGACTGAGCAGGGAGGCACCCCCCATTTTAACCATTTTTAAGTGTACAGTTCTGTGGTATTAACTATTCAGGTGTGAAGATGATATGCAACCATCACCACCATCCAACTCTAGAACTTTGTCATCTTCCCAAGCTGAAACTGTTCCCATTAAACACTAACTCCCCATTCCTCACCTCCCCACAGTCCCTGGCAACCTCCATTCCTCTTTCTTTCTCTATAAATTTGACTATTCTAGGAATAACCTTAAATTCTTAAACAAGGGGCACCTGAGTGGCACAATCAGTTGAGCACCCAAATATTGGTTTTGGCTCAGGTCATGAATGGGGGCAGGGGCCGCCATGGCATCAAGATCAAACCCCACATGGCATAAGACTCACCCCCCCACTCCTGCTCAGTGAGGAGTCTGCTTTAAGACTCTCTCTCCC